GGGGCAGTTTTGAGCACCACGGGAGAAGAATGACGTTGAGGGGCTGGGGCAGGTCCAGAGAAGGGCAGTGAAGCTGGTGAGGGGCCTGGGGAACATGGCTTGTGAGGAGGGCTGAGGGACCTGGGGGTGTTTAGTCTGGAGCAAAGGAGACTGTGGGGAGATCTGGTTCTCAGCAGCTCCCTGAAAAGAGCTTGGAGTGAGGTCTGGGTTTGATCTCTTCTCCCAAGGAACTAGCGATGGGATGAGAGGAAGAGGGCTTAAGTTTCACCAGGGGAGGTTTTGGCTGGATAGGTGGATGTTGGTCTGGGCTCATGTTGCACCAGTTGGATATTATGAAGAATTTCTTTATTGAAAGAGTCGTGAGGCATTGGAACAGGCTGCCCAGCGCGGTGGTGGAGTCACCATCCCTGGAGGTGTTCAAAAGACACATAGATGTGGCACCTGGGGACATGGTTTAATGGTCAAGGTAGTGTTGGATTGACAGTTGGACTGGATGATCTTAGAGGTCTTTTCCAACCTTAATGATTTTATTGTTATATGACTAGAAACCCACTTCACTGAGAAACCCAAACCACTGGGTTTTTAAATGTCTGACACGTCACCTCTTTGCTTTTGGAGGTGAATGGTTCTGTGGTTCCCTGACAAGCATAGCCAGGATTGGTTCCTTTGGCTGCTGATGGAACTATCTGATTTTTCCCCAAGCTGAAAAAACAAACTTTTTTTGTTTGTTTGTAAATGCTTTAGTTCAGGGATTTGAAAGAGCCAGAGTGCTGTTCTCTGTTCCTCTGCAAGCTTGCTTGGGCTGCAGAAGAGGCAGAAAGATCATCCTTGTGCTCTGCTGTACTGCATAAATATTTAAAACCTTGCTCAGGATGTTTAAAAAGAACATATTTCATTTAGGGAGTATTTTACATTAAATTTCATGGGTATTTTACGTTAAGTTTCATGGGTAGTTCCCACTTCTACATTTCCTCCTCAACGACCTGTTGTGTTGCTGCAGCTTCCCCCTCTCCAATAGCGTGGGGTGGCTGGAGGGGCTGCACTTGGAGACCACTGTTGCATTCCCTTTTTAGGATTAAGGGCAAAATGTTCCTTTTGTCTTGCTTAATTGCCTTATGGCAGATGAAAAGGAACGTTCAGGTGGAGTGTGGTTGGGATGGATGCAGAGGGGAGAGTAGAAATTGGCACTGGGAATGCAAAGCCATGTGCCCCGTGACACTGGGCTCTGACACCCGAGGTGACAGCCTCGTGGCCTTGGTCAGGGGATTTGAGAGTTGTGCTTCTGAAAGCTGTCCTAACATCTGCCTCCTTCCAAATGTTGTGGCAGAGGCTGAAGAGATTCCCTCAGTCTGGGTGTTCCTTCTTTGGGCTTCTCCCCTTCACCTCCTCCAGTTCCTCACCTAGTAGCTCCACATCCTAAGAGCAGTGTCTTCCCTTTGAAGGCACTCCCTGATCCATCTTTGCTGCACTGGCATCTTCAGTGTGTATCACAAACATTGATACCACCCTGTAAAAAATGAATATTAATATATATATCAGTTTAAAAAGTAGATCTCAATAATTCAAGGCCAGGTTGGATGGGGCTTGGAGCAACCTGCTCTAGTGAGAGGGGTCCCTGCCCATGGCAGGGGGTTGGAGCTGGGTGATCTTGATGGACCCTTTCAGCCCAACCCATTCTATGTTTTTATGGCACATATATCTATAAAATTGAACATCCTTTTGCTTTCTCAATGGGGATTTCTGTCTATTACCTTCCTCAAAGTTTTTACTTTAAGTGTTCATTTCCTATTAAGTTTTCAAAAAAAAAAACCCACCAACAACAAACCCCTTGATGGCTTGACATACCAAAGGCCTGACTGGGGTTTCCTTGTCATTGTTTTCTTCCTGCCCAGCTCCATCTCTTGCTTGTTTACATATTTGAGTTGTGAGTTACTGGGGGTGGGTGACTTCAGCTTACAGCTACACTCAGAAATAAGCCAGAAGGATCCTTCTTACATGGTCAGGAAGTGACAGAGGGGAGAAGGAACTGCCTGCTGCAAGGCCTGGTGTCGTTATTCCAAAACCAAGGAGTTTCTTGGAGAAGCTTCTGTGTATACCTATGAGTGTACTCTTATTTTTGCTCTAATGTGCATTTCATAGAACCATTAAGGTTGGAAGAGACCTCTAAGATCATCCAGTCCAACCAGTGCTATCATAGCCACTAAACCATGTCACAGTGAAGCAGCTCCACGTGGTTTAGACTTTAGGATTGGTGGAAGGTGAGGTTGCAGCATGACAGAGTTCCAGTGGAGCAGTTCCCTCTGAGTCCTGTGGATACTGGTACTAATTATTTGATCACCCTGAGACTTTTATTGCCCATCAGCCACCAAGAGCATGATGTTGTGGCTGCGTTTCAGCAGCTGCTGGGCTTGGGTTTGGGTTTTCAGATCCCAGCTCTACCAGAGGACTGGAAGTCGCCTTGTCCTGTGGTGCCTGCCTGTGAGCCAGCCAGGTCTCTGAGGTAAAGGAAGAGCTCTGGCTGCTGCCCACTCCAGACCCTGGTCAGGTGCAAAAGGACCTTTGGGTGCTGGTGGACAGCCAGCTGGAGATGAGCCAGTGTGTGCCCAGGTGGCCAAGAAGGCCACCAGCATCCTGGCTTGGGTCAGCACTGGTGTGGCCAGCAGGAGCAGGCGGGACTCAGCACTGGGGAGGCTGCCCCTCAAATCCTGGGGTCAGTTTTGGGTGCCTCACTCCCAGAAGGACCTTGAGGGGCTGGAGTGTGGCCAGAGAAGGGCAACGGAGCTGCTGGGGAAGGGTCTAGAGCCCAAGTGTGGGGAGGAGCAGCTGAGGGAGCTGGGGGTGCTGAGCCTGGAGCAAAGGAGGCTCAGGGGAGACCTTCTGGCTCTGCACAGCTCCTGACAGGAGCCTGGAGCCAGGGGGGGGTCGGGCTCTGCTCCCAAGGAACAAGGGACAGGACAAGAGGAAACGGCCTCAAGTTGCTCCAGGGGAGGTTTGGGTTGGCTATGAGGAAGAATTTCTCTCCTGGCAGAGTGGTGAGGCCTTGGCCCAGGCTGCCCAGGGAGGTGCTGGAGTCCCCAGCCCTGGAGAGGTTCAAAAAACCCTGTGGCTGTGGCACCTGGGGACATGGTTAATGGTCATTGTAGTGTTTGGTTGACAATTGGACTGGATGATCTTAGAGGTCTTTTCCAACCTTAATGATTCTATGATTCTCTAATTGCACAAGAAATTTCCTTCCCAGTCATTTTTCTCTTAACTCCAGGAAGAAAATGTTTAAAGCTATGAACAGAGCAAATCAGTTAAAAGGAAGAAGGTTGTGTCCCTAAGCTCCATAAATAAGTCATGTCAGAATTGTGGTGGCAGCATCAGTCCAGGAAAACCTCTCTCTGTACCTTACAGCCCAGGCTGAGGAAGAGGAGCTCAAAATGTGTCCTCTGCATGGCCAGAAAAAAAACAGGGTCATGTTTGGTGTGCCTGCTGATCATCCTGGGGCCTGCTTGGAACCAAGCAGTGAAACAACCAGAAGGCTTTGTGTAATGAAGCTCCTCTTGCCTCACAGTCTGTGTGCTGTGGTGTCAGTAATGGTTTTGTGCTAAATCTTTGAAAAATTAATAAATTAGACTCTTAAAATTTAATGGGTGTCGTATACTGATCTAGCTTTTAACCCAGATCTGTCAGTCTGTGTGAAATGCCACTTTCTGACCATGGTGAGCACAGAGCTTTGGGGTTTCTCTTTCTTGAAGTGACAAATGGATCTCTTAGGTCTGTTATGAAAAAGCCCAAAAAGCTCTTTTGGCCCATGAAATGTGTTTTGGGTGATTTATTTTAACAAGTATAATCCAGGAGCTGGGTCAGAAACATGCAACTGCTCTGGTCTGTTTTGGTGTGTTCCTAGGGCAAGTCCCCAGAGTGAAGTTTCTGATAACATTTGAGTTGCACCTGAAGGAATCACCATGGATTCTGTTTCCTTCAATCTAATATCTTTTTATTTCTCTTATTTGTTTCAGGAAACACTCCTTTACACCTTGCTGTGATGCTGGGACATAAAGGTAGGTGAATGTGTCAATTCTGTTAGCTCTTAAACCATCCTAAACACACAGGAGCAAGAGGAAATAAAAGATCTTTTCAGTTTTGCTGATCCAGCTCTTGTCTTCCAAGGGGATTCAACCTTGAGGTTTTGTGAAAAGGAGCCACCAAACAGATTTAGAAGAGAAAAGCTGGAGAAGAAATCAGAGCTGTTCTCAAGGCCCAAAGCAAGGGCTAGGAGTGAGCAGTTTCTCTCCAGGCTGCCCAAGGAGGTGTTGGAGTCCCCAGCCCTAGAGGGGTTCCAAAAAACGTGTGGACGTGGCACTTGGGGCCATGGTTTGGTGGCCATGGGAGTGTTGGGTTGACGGTTGGACTTGATGATCTCAGAGGTGTTTTCCAGCCTTAATGACCCCACGATGCTGTGATCCAGGCAGATCTCTGTTTCTCTGTGCAGCTGATTCCTGTGCAGGGGTTGTGAGCTCCTGTGTAGGATGCTGCCCTTCCTCTTGGGCAGCTCATACCCAGGGAGTGGTGTCACCACGTGCTGCTGAGCAGCCCTGCTCAGCTGCTTCCCAGCCAGCTGAGGCAGAACAACATCCTCTAGCACAACAGGATGCTGCCATGGCTCACCTGCTTCTTACCTGCTCTTTCACCACTTTGAGCCCAGCTTCTGAATCACTCCCTGGCCATTCTTCCCCGTGGCAAGATGCCCTGGTGGGCCTGGGCCAGCCTGCAGGTCCACCAGGACTCCTGTGCTCTCACGTACCCTTGGGGCATTGCTTCAGAACAGAGTTTCAAGGCACAGGATTTCAGTTCTGCTGCAAAGTGTAGAAGTAGACATGTTTGCAGTCTGGGAAGAAACCTCGAAAAGCATGAGGGTCTAGAGCCCAAGTGTGGGGAGGAGCAGCTGAGGGAGCTGGGGGTGCTGAGCCTGGAGCAAAGGAGGCTCAGGGGAGACCTTCTGGCTCTGCACAGCTCCTGACAGGAGCCTGGAGCCAGGGGGGGGTCGGGCTCTGCTCCCAAGGGACAGGACAAGAGGAAATGGCCTCAAGTTGCCCCAGGGGAGGTTTCAGTTGTCCCTGAGGAACAATTTCTTGCCCTGGAGGGTTGCCCAGGGCTGTGCCAGGCTGCCCAGGGCAGTGGTGGAGTCCCCACCCCTGGAGGGGTTTCCAAGCCGTGGAGATGTGGGGTGAGGGACACGGGGCAGTGCTGGATTTAGGTTAATGGTTGGACCTGATGATCTTGCAGGTCTCTTCCAACCAAGGTGATTCTATGGTTGTTCAGTGTCTGAACCAGTAAAGTTCTTTTTCAGGAGTGACAGGAGGGTGGCCAGGTGTGAGTCCTGTGCCTCCCTGAGAGCTGCTGGGTGGGAAGCACTGGGCTGTGGGGAGAGAAGGATGCAGGAAGCACTGGGAGTTGTCTTTAGACATTCTGGCCATACCTGTGACATCATCAGAGGTGACTGAGAAGTAGAGTGGGAAGTGATTTGGAAGGAAGAAGGGAGAGGGCTGGTTAGAGGGTGATTAGTTGTCATGAAGTCATGACAGCTGTCACGAAGGGACATCTTCCATCTATTCCACAGCAATAAATACAAACTCTTTTGATCAAAGGTGCTTCTTCTAATAACACTGATACAAAAGGGTTTGCCACCTTGAATTCAGAGTGGTTGAAAATTTATTCAAAGTCTCTCAATTTGGTTATTTTACGTTGCAGCTCTAGAGTAAAAAGCAACCCTTTGGGTGCTGAGGGATTCCTGCAGGGTGAGTTACCCTTGTGTGCAGCGTGGTGAGGAGAGGAGAGACATCTCTTCCCTCTGCTCCTTCTCCTGTTGGCTCCAGGTTTTGGACTTCAGTGTGCAGTTCAGCTCCTGGCCTCTCCCCCTGTAGTCTCCTGCTGGGTGTGGATCCTCTGGCAGGGCAGTGGTGAGCTTGTCTGGAGCAGGGCTTCTTGTGCACGACATCCAGCACCACACCTGGCTTGGCTGTTCCACTTTGGCTCCTGCGTGGCTGTAGATCCACCAAGAACCCCAGGTCCTCTCCTGCCTTGTGAGTCTGTCGTGGTGACTCAGAACATCAGTGGTCTGGCTTCCTGGGCTGATGAGTATCAGAGAATCACAGAACTGTTTAGGTTGGAAGAGACCTTCAAGAGCATCGAGTCCAACTGTCCCCCCAGCACTGCCAGGTCCCCACTGCCCCGTGTCCCTCACCCCACATCTCCACGGCTTGGAAACCCCTCCAGGGGTGGGGACTCCACCACTGCCCTGGGCAACCCTCCAGGGCAAGAAATTGTTCGTCAGGAACAACCTCAACCTCCCCTGGGGCAACTTGAGGCCATTTCCTCTTGTCTTGTCCCTTGTTCCTTGGGAGCAGAGCCTGACCCCCCCCTGGCTCCCGGCTCCCGTGAGGAGCTGTGCAGAGCCAGAAGGTCTCCCCTGAGCCTCCTTTGCTCCAGGCTCAGCACCCCCAGCTCCCTCAGCTGCTCCTCACCAGAGCTGTGCTCCTCATGCTGAGTGCTGAGGTGGACACTGCAGTGTCCCAGCCCATCTCCCCTGGGCCCAGGGTGAAGTTACAGTTAGTTTCACTGGAAATGTCCCTGGCTGGGGGTTGCCTGCTCGCTGCACGGTGTTGGCTCTGTGTTTAAGCCACCAGGAAGGTTCCTCACTGTGTTTGCTGAGAAAGCAGCTGAGGGTTTTGTTTATTTACTCACCTGACCAGGATCCAGTTCCCT